TACAACATATTAGAGGTATACAGCTTCTAATCAGTCATGTTGAACATAGTAATTGACGATTACAAGTCTATTACAAAACAGCACACCTGGAAAGAAGTAAAACAAATGAGAGTTATCTCCCCATGACTACAGTCCACAGACACACGAAACAAAAAACACAAACCACTGATTGTCGTATATCCATGCCACCTCATAGGTCGGGGTGAACATCAATCAAGTAAATGACGATAAATGCAGAAGTGTAAATGTTTTTTTACCATAAAACATAGATGAGAAGAAAGGGGTAGTAAATGTTGTAGTAATATATGAAACTGCCTTCAAAAAATATTGGTCGTAGCTGTTTTGAGAACTCGAAATGACTTCAGTATTGCAAAACTATAAGGTACACGTATTTGCTGTGTACTAAACCTCATAATGGCACGTACACATTTACACACGAATTACAAGGTAAAGGTCTCCGTGAGCTTCATCCAATCAAACGTGAGGATTCAATTTTACGGGGATTCCCCCACGTCAACGAGGTCCACTCACGGTGGTCCGTGGCTCAGTTTCTGGGGTCACTGATGCTAACTGGTATTTGATGACGACGCAGGATAATTAAAATAGCGCCGACTTGATCATGTCTCTTCAAATGATGTTTCTACTTGTTACTTTGCTCGAGTGAAACATCGATTGTAATGTGTTGGAATATATAATACAGTAGTTCATCATCAAAAGAGTACTGAATAATTATCATGACAAACATATTTCAGCATTTAACGAACAGATACCGTTGGTATATGTAAAAGTAGAAAACAACGTCCAAATCATGTTCGTATCCATAAGGTGAGGTGAAATTGGGTTTAACGTCGTGCTTGAGAATATTTCGCTCATATGACGACGTGCATGCGTGTGTGTGTGTGTGTATGTGCGGCTGCTTGTACTAGCCCAGACTTAAGCTGGTTTTATAGTGCTAGCCCACTGAGATACCATGCCGCAGTGAAGCATGAATACCCCACTCAGACACATTATACTGACTCCGAGCCAACCAGTCCTTGTTGTACCCATTAATGCCGAGCGCCAGGCAGGGACCAACAAGTACCATATTTTAACGTCTTTTGGTATGACGCGGTCGGGGATCGAACCCGCGACCTTCCGCTCTCCGGGCGGACGCTCTAACCACTACACCACGGAGGCTGTCCGTATCCATAAGAATCATCTGTTGAATGCTGAGTCACTTTTAAGAGGTGATGACACCAGGTAAATCACTGCATAATATATGTTATTTATAGCATCATAATTTCTTCTTAAAATCTACCCCTAATCAGACGAGTGAATGAATGAATGAATGAATGAATGAATGAATGTGTCTCTGAGCTGAATGGATCGTTCACATTAACTGTGTGTCTGTGCTTAAATCGTGCTTACAATACACATCAGCTGATGTAGTTATTTATGCAAATTTATGTAAATATCATCACACCTGTCCTAACAGATCTCAAACAGTTTTTCTTGTGATATATTAACAGGGGTAGGGGTAAGCTTTGAATGGCGAGAGTCAATAAAACTTACTTCATGAAAACAATTATGAAAAACATTTTGCTAGAAATAAACGAATAATTATTTGCATTTTCTTGCATGTTGAGAAAGATTCAATATGGTTAAGAGGAATAGGTCTTTTTATCTTAATACGTCCAAAACGTTATCAGTGAATGTATTTTGAAGACGCTTCAAAGTTTAATTGAAATCTAAAATATGTTTTGAATAGACAAGGCTGAAACTACCTTGCTAAAAATGGTGTCATGTACGTTTCTAGATTTGTCAACAGTGAGTGCTTGTGGGTTGAACAACAGTGGTAAACGTCTGAGACTTGCACCAGTTCGGAGTGTGCTCACACATTAGGCTGAGACTCTCATATACAGGGGTGTAATCCAACTCATTAACTCTCCCAAAACGACGCAACCTACTCAGGGCGGTTGCCCCTGTATAAAAATTATCAGAACGTCAGATACAAACCTTTAAGTCAACACCTCTTACTTCATTTACATTATTGTTGGAACAAGGGTCAATTTATCAGTGGACACCATTCACGCCAAAGAAATCCATGGCCACGTGCCTCGTTGGCCTTGGCCCCGATTATGGATGTGAGACGTAACGTCACAATAGCTCGTGGTTGGTGTGTTTACACATTAATATACATCAGCAAGCCGATGGCGTAATGTATTCCAAGCACATGCTGTCTGCAATTATTAATGCATGGCCTGCAGATGGAATAGAGCTTTGTGATGTGAATGAATGAGATCGCATTTCACACAATGGTGAAAATATGGTTTATTATGTAAATTGCATATTCTTTGCGGGTTTAGAGGGAAAATTTGTTATCATAACTATATTTTGAACTATTTTTGACGTTAATACTGATTTTATTTTCGGCAGAGTGTATAAAAACACCTGTGGCGTTCTCATCGATTTCAGTTCTTCCTAACACTTCTGGCAAATTTCCAAATTAAAAGAAAATACAAATTAAATTATGCAACCCTAACGCCCCCTTCAGGTTGCCATCTGGTTTGTGACTAGCGCTTGACATTCTCACCCATTTGTGAACACTTTTTTATCGTCGCTGCTTGATTGTCATGCATACACTCATGCTTGGTAAAAACTAACAGAACACGTTGTATGCTGGGGGTCAAACCTATACCACGATTAGACTGAAGGCACGGCATTATCTCTTGTTGTTTCGACCAGATAGAGTTTAGCAAACCTATTAAAGATGCTAATGCCTCTATCGGTCTTCACGGCCATGCCAGTCACTTAAACATCGGAAACCACACTACCACACACACTCCTGTATCAAGAACGTCATATTTAATTATGCAGTTCTGTCCAGATAACTTTAACCAAAGCTACAAGAACCTTACTGTAGATTTTACCAGAAAATTATATCATAGGCCATAACAAGAACAGGCATTACAGTCAGTTACATATCACTCTATGGTGGAGTAACAATTATGGTTTATATACTGAAGCCAATAATTATGTATACAGTCTTGTAAGGAAGTTGCAACATCCTTACATGGAAGACAGTCAGGTCGACGTCAGATTTCGTCAATGTGGCTGCATCAATGTACTGTAAGTTTTTACATGTTAACTTTAACTTTTTACATTTTCTGCTTCACATTTACTCCATTTGTGAGCATGTTTACTCGCATATTGTATTGAGCGGTGTAGTGCTGTTCAGTTGCAAGTTTTTATACTCGTTTGGTGTATGTTCATTGCGTTTGCAGATTCGTACATCTTATTGTCAGCATTCATGTTTGAGTATTCTTTGTTTAATGCTACAGCAAGCAACATTCCAGATATGCTAGTGAGGTATGTCACTTTTACATTGCATCGGCAATATTACAGCCATATAGCGATGGAAACAAGGTAATCAATTAAAATATCTGTCGACAAAGGACAGTAAAACCAAGTAGACTATCACAGATATATAGTTAAAGCTAGTAATCAAATCTAAATACTTTAACTATAGAAGACGATACAATATAAAAACAGGCTATAGATCGCCAACAACTAAGGTAGATCACCATACTAGGGACCATGGGGACTTACAGTACCTTTGCTACCTTCATGGACCCTAGTTGGATTTACACGTATGTCATGTGAAGGACCAGAACCTGCGGAAGAGATTTAACATGGAATAATGACAGGTGCTCAGGTACAAACAACAAAACATGATAGTAGTCGAGGTATGCCATGTTTAAGAAATATTACATCAGCATCTTTTGTAGGGGAGGAGCGGTGGGTCAGACCGTTGTTGAATAAATCACTTGGTGGTTAAATCGTTCGCTTGTCACGTAGAAGTCCCGGGTGACCAAAGGATATCAACGGTAATGAACCAGGCGCTCTACAAATGTTTAATATTTAAGTCTATATCTTGAATCTACTTAATCTGCTGAACGTCCTCGAGGTCAAACTGCTTCCAAGCTATACGTTTCTGTCACCATTGGAGCAGGATAAGCTCATCTCTTCGCAACGGTTATCATCACTATATGATGAAATTACACATTCAACTCTGCTGTTGGCAACTTCATTTGTATGTCTTGTGGGTGTGGGAAGTGTGAAATTAAGCTGTAAGTCATTCTAGAATAAAGCATAGTCTCTGAACATCTACAATTTTGATAGAAACAAATAATTCCAGTTAAATTGAAAAGGAGCCCAAGTGCAATTTGAGATTAAGGGCTTGCATTGCAGAAAAGGGTTGGTTGAAGATAATATATGTAGTTCAGGGACTGTGAGCGTACTATTCATCTATTTTAGGCAATAATCTTCATTCATAAAACAGTATTACTCGGGGTCAACTAATGCAAAGCGTAATTGGCAGATTCTACTTTCTTTCTCAATACCTTGGTATCTCCCAGTTTCAACATATAAATCATGCGCGGAGCAGCGGAATCTCGCTAATGAAGATTTATATTTCCTTATGGTCAAGACTGAAAGATAATGTTCTGCATATATGGAATCTTTTATCATTTTGTAGTGAAAAACATTTATTAGATAATGAGAGACTAGTTAACCAATTTTGAAGGAATATATCTTTAAGTCTTCGTTTAACTGTACAGACAAAGTGAGAATGAGATTCTACAAATTGTTCATGCCAGGCATTGCCGAAGCCGATAGATGATAATAACTGTTTTTATGTCTGTTACCCAATTACGTTTCCCATGGCTATCATATAGTATCATCATTTCATAACATTTTCTTGGCAATCTGTGTGAGGGGCATTGTTAATAATTTCAACCAATATCTAATAATTTTACATTTGATTCTATGTACAATGGATATCTTCCACATTCTCCGTAGACCATACAAGTTGTAACATTTATAATACATGTACAATGACAGTAATGCCTCATGACGTATGCTCTGTATTCCCAATCAAACCTTCGATGTCATCTGATATGTGAGAGAGGGACGCCACCGCCTCTTAATAGATTCATAGGGCAAACAGTCCATTAAACCTACAATGACGAAACAGTATAGTTACACGAGGAGACAAAGGCATGTGGTAGCATTCGTAAGGGGAACCCACTTGGAGACAGGTAGTACAACCTCGTTACGTCTGTCTTTATGTTGTATATTAACCTTAGGATGTGTGATATTGTACATATTCTATTTGACATTAAACGATATTCACTGCTATAAAATACTGACATTATTTGTATTTACAGATATTTACTATTATGAAAAACAGACCGTATTTGTATTAAAGATATTCACTGTTTCAAAATGCAGACATCATTTGTATTTAAAATATATTCACTGTTATAAAATACAGACAGTATTTGCATTTAAAGATATTCAGTTTTATAAAATTGTTGACATTATTTGTATTTAAAGATATTTACTGTTTTACGATACAGACAGAAGTTATATTAAAGATATTCACTGTTATAAGGTACAGACATTATTTGTATTTAAAGATATTTACTGTTATAAAATAATGACATCATTTGTGTTTGAAGATATTCACTGTTAAAAACATATAGACAGTATTTGCATTTAAAGGTAAATCCTGTTATGAAAATACAGACTGTATTTGCATTTATAAATATTCACTGTTTTAAAATACTGACATAATTTGCATTTAAAGATATTCACTGTTATAAAGATACAGACAGTATTTGCATTTAAAGATAATTCCTGTTATAAAGATACAGACATTATTTGCATTTAAAGATATTTACTGTTATAAAGATACAGACAGTATTTGCATTTAAATATATTACCTGTTATAAAACTACAGACAGTATTTGCATTTATATATATTCACTGTTTTAAAATACCAACATCATTTGTATTATAATATATTCACTGTTATAAAGATACAGACAGTATGTACATTTACAGATGTTCACTGTTTTAAAATACTGACATCGTTTGCATTTAAACATATTTACTGTTATAAAAACAGACATTATTTGCATTTAAAGATATTTCCTGTTATAAAAATACAGACAGTATTTGCATTTACAGATATTCACTGTTTTAGAATAATGACATTATTTGCATATAAAGGTATTTACTGTTATAAAATACAGGCAGTATTCGCATTCAAAGATATTTACGGTTATAGAATACAGACAATATCTGCATTAAAAGATATTCGCTGTTATAAAAATACAGGCAGTATTCGCATTCAAAGATATTTACTGTTACATAGATTCACGGACATCATGGGCACATTTCAGATATTTGTGTTATTGCAAAACATGCATTTCCTTTTGTCTCTTGGTTTGGTTATATTAAAAATGCAGTTTGTCTTGTTGACTTTTATGACATTATAATTGATAGTTATTACACATAAAACCATTCAACATGACTGCTTTTGCGCGCCTATTAATCAAACTTTTCAAAGACGATTACATTGGGATTGTTTCAGAAAATCTCTTTTTCTTTTTGCTGCCCATATTTTGACATAATTCATAATTGGATTACCAGGGACGTTTAGAGGAACGCCCATCATGGAACAAGAGTGGTGTTTGAACGACTTCATTCGAACTTGCTCTTACTGCCAGTATTTCCGAGCTAGTTTGGAAGTGTTTGGGTATCTCTGATTGGCTTTACAATTTATAAAATCTGTTTTGCTGTCTGGCCAGGAAACAAGGATTTGCTCACTATGGCTTTGAATTCCCGTTTACTGTCCTTGGGCGGCTAGTAACTCGCACTTAAATGTTTTAACCGTATGCATCCGCATTCATCCGTATTCTGCCTAGTCTTTGAATGACGACTAAACCGTGCACACTGATGTCGAAATATTTGTGTTTTATTCCCAACAGAATGCTTCCGGACGCCCCTTCCAATCCGATGTGAGAGAGACAATTGCATATTTGACAACGCAGCATCGAGGAACGACATCATAAAGACTTGACAAGAGTGTTCTCAACACACTGAAGTCCATACAGTTGAAGTAACATCTTAGCACTTAGGTTCTTAGTTTCCAACGCATCCGAAGGCCTTTCTGGATATTCAAAGACTTTTTGAAACAACCCAACACTTTCATAGACGTCCCAAGATCTTGCCATTTCCCTACGCATAAAAAGAGTTTCGACAGATTCATCCTTGCAAAGGTACTTTGGTACGATAGGAACAGAAATATAATTACAATGGTCAGCCGCCACAGCTTCCACATCGTCGACTACGTGGTCTTCGGCGCCACCATCCTCATCTCACTGGGGATAGGACTCTACTTTGCTCTGTCTGGTGGACGCCAGAAAACAACGTCCGAGTTTATGGTTGGCGGTCGTTCCATGAAGTTTCTCCCCGTGGCCTTGTCGCTGATGGTGTCGTTTGAGTCGTCCATCATGATGTTGGGCTATCCAGCTGAAGTATATGTGTATGGGGCGCAACTTTTTATAAAACTGTTCGGATTTATGGCGGCATTTCTGATATGCAGGGTGTTGATGATACCACTGATCCATCCCCTAAAACTCACCAGCGCTTACGAGGTAGGTTCAGACTAGCATTAGTGTTGGTATAGAGTCTGGGCAGAATGGGTTTCCGTGAGCCAGTTATTGTAAAAATGTGAAAACTAGCCCATTGCATGTCACTGTGCCTTTATTTCTTTATCTGTTATCGATTTCCTGCAAGACTTGGTCTTGTAGTAACCAGTAGTAGGTTCAGATTTATGCAGGGAATTTGTCATCGTGCCTGCCACCATGGGCAATATTGCTTTAGTTTCTGTTTCTCGTTCATCTTTGTTTCGTTTTAAACATGTTTTATTGTCCAAAAGACAAAGGGATGCATGACATATGGTCGCCTTCTCCGCTTCATCTTTTGACTCACCCGTGAGGTTCTGGGTTAGAATTGGGTCTTCAGCAACCGGGTGTCGGGTGGTCAGGTATCGGGTTGTCAGGCTCGCTGGCGTGGTTGACACTTGTCATCGTATCCCAACTGCATAGATTGATCATTGGATTGTCTGGTTCAGACTTGAATATTTACAAACCGCCGCCATACAGCTGGAATATTGCGGCGTTAAACCACACATACACACACTTTCCACCAACACACATCTGCTTGTCTTTCGAAAGACCTGGTCTTGTCCAAACTCAATAAGTTACATTCCTCCGGCATATAGCTGGGATATTGCTGAGTGCGGCGTTAAACACAATCCAGTTATTTTGAAAGCCCATTCCAAGTCTTTAAGTCACTACATAGAATTGTTCGTATGTAATGATGGTCTGACAGTCTATGCATTCTACGGGTTAGAATTGATCTTCAGCGACCCATGTTTGTCGTAAGAGGCGACTGAGGAAGTCGGGAGATAAGGTAGACTTGGTTGACACATATCCCAATTGATTAGATCGATCCTCGTGCTGTTGATCACTGGTTTGTCTGGTCCAGATGTAATTATTTAAAGACCATCTCCATATAGCTGGAATAGTGTTGAGTGTAGCGTTAAACAACAAACAAACAGACTTAACTGATGCTTTGTATACATCTTTGATAACTGTTTAGGATTTTGAAGATTCCTAGAGAGAATATATCCGAGGAGCGTCTCAAAAATAGTCGGGCTAACTATATTTTCGATGTCCAATGTTCGAGAAGCTTCCATTTTATTTTGAAGGAATCATTAGCAAAGCCATATCCAAAATTTCACATATGTGGGTATGTGGTTAACGAGATATTAGTCATCACAACACATTGGTTTATAATATTTCTTTAAAAATTGCAGAAAGTGAAATACGATCTGTCATTTTGTACCTCTTGGATAATGGTATGCCCTCAGAAAATGTCAAATAAAATATGTTCAGTATAGTATTGGATGACTTGCCGTCATAATCAACATTCAAAGACTTGGATCACTTGATTTATATTTAGACGGGGCTGTTTTTAAAGGACACCCCCATTTTAATCTTTCAAAAACATTGTGTCCAGATATTCAAGCTGGCACTGTTTACAATATATTGAGTGCTGACACTTGTGTGACTATTCAGTATTTAATTTGAACCCTTGGCATCATGTATGAATAAGTGAAAACATAACAATAAATTATGTCCTTATGATTCCGTCATCTGAAAGGAGTTGTGTAGTGTCTCCAAAACAAGCTCTTTCAGTAAACATCCTGGGTGGAGTCACTTTAACGGGCGATTGTAATTTCAAATTGCATTTTTATGCACTTTAATATCTAGGTTTGACTCTAGAGAACTTCTGCCTATCTCAAACACACAAAATGTTTCTTGCATATTTTCTTTCCTGAAGTTTGTGATGCATTTATTGCAGATTTTGCGGTTTTTTGGGGGTACCATGATAAAGAGTCAAACAAATTGGGGATCGTGAGGCTGGAACATTGCAAAAGCAATTTGCTTGAGGTTCACAGATAATATGTAGAAAACTAAAACATAGCTAGCTGCATTTGTATAATTTTCTAGGTGAGGCCGATTACTTTTGGGACGCCCCTCGTACATCTTGAAGTTGGAACGGCACATACCCCATCATTAATTTTTTATGACCAATTAAATTTCTCTAAAAAAAACGAATCAAACTTACAAACTTACATAAAATTGTCTATGAACGTTTATGAGGGGGAAAATGAGGGGTAAGGAAAATATCGGAATAAAGGGATTGTGTATTGTTTGTCTCTATGTATATACTCAACGGAACATGAAAAACCCTCTGTTTATTCCGAACTCTGAAACGTCTACTTCTAAATGTTTTACAGTACAGTAAGGTAACTCTACTCATGAAAATAAACAACCAACAACACAATAAATTCTGACAGAATTAGTTCATGGAAATTACAAGCAGTAAATCTGAAAGATTGTGTAGCCAAAGTGAATATTAATACTTGACCTTTTATTGATAAATATATTCCTATATTTCGAGATATTATATCGAAAAAATTACTTATCGAAAGTTATTACTTATTCCAGGAAAATGATAACATCTGCGATTCTTAAATGTCAACTGAAGAAATAGATTCAAACCGAACAGACATATTTTACGCTCTTTTAACTTCAAAACATTATTCAGATACATATATTTGAAATAAAACACGAACAGCAGAGAAAAAATACGTTAGAGTATAGTTTCAAGAAATCATCGTCATTGTAGTGGTAGTATATCAAAGAGGTTTAATTCGTTTTTGAAATACAGCACTATGTGAGTTTCTTAACTATTGGAATTACACAGAAATAGAGTTATCTTTCTTGTTGGAAATCGTTCACACATGGAATCCTTCAACAGTGGCTTGAGTCGCTATTCGGCTTGTTCCGGAATAACACGAACCCGCAACGAATGGATGCTGTATTTGATACGGATATTTTCGCACACATAACCTCAAAACCCGTGAAGATCCGGATTAGAATTGATCTTCAGTAACCCATGCTTGTCGTAAGAGGCGACTAACGGATCGGGTGGTCAGGCTCGCTGACATGGTTGACACATGTCATCGTTCCCCAATTGCGTAGCTCGATGTTCATGCTGTTGATCACTGGATTGTCTGGTTTAGACTCGATTATTTACAGACCACCGCCATAAAGCTGGAATATTGCTGAGTGCATCGTTGAACATCAAACAAATAAGCAAACAAACACATGACCTCTACAAAAACACGCTACACAAATTGCGCTGTACACAGTTATGAGAAGGGAGACGCTGGGCGGTTAATTACAGCTAGATTATTTATATGAACTGTTGGTAAGTGATATATGATCAATAATATGATACTATTTGGCGTTCTATGTCGATGATTAATTATGCAAGAGTTACGTCCCTTGATGATTATCTTCACGTGTGTCGTGCCTGTACTGTCTTTCATCACTCTGATATTTATACCTAAATGGGTTTTAAAAAGACATACTTTAAAGAAATTGGTGAAAATATTGCACTGATATAATCCATATTTAGATAAAATAATAAATAGGTGAGCAAGAAAATATATTAAAATATTCATGTTTGTTTATCTCTTGTCCGTATTACTGTTAACAATTCTCACACATTTAGTTTTTGAGAAATATTGTGGCACATAACATAACACAGTTAACAGAATTTTTTTCAATGTTTAATCAAATATATACTACTAAAAAAATAGAAAAAGAAACGCATAGCCAGTATTTTTCCATGTAATGTTTCGAAAATGAATCATAAGTGTGTGTCTAATCAGTATGTCTGAATAGGACTGCACGGTATTACCGGTATATCGGTATATCGCAATATGCTTTTCAAACAATTGCAGTATTGTTTTCTGAGAATCGGTTCATTCGGTAAAGAACATGTATGAAGTTTTTTGTGATTATCTTTATTAAATTAAAATCTACACAGACATTAATTTACAACAAATGTTCCCTTCGTTATTTAATGACAAAACACATACTGTAATACAATAAATTGTATAAAAAGGAAAATAGAATTTCTGACTACGCAACTTAATTTTGAGAATGAGTGAGTGAGTTTGGTTTTACGCCGCTTTTAGCAATATTCCAGCAATATCACGGCGAGGGACACCAGAAATGGGCTTCACACATTGTGCCCATGTTGGGATTCGAACCCGGGTCTTCAGCGTGACGAGCAAACGCTTTAACCACTAGGCTACCCCACCGTCCCCTTTGAGAATGAGAATCATGACATATATGTTTAGGGACTTATAATGTAGAAAATAGGATTGACAAGTTCTTAATATATCGCAATACGTACAGCAATACGGGTATATGAATTGCAATATATTGCAATACAATTTACTTGCCAATAAACAGAACTAATGGTGAATGTTCCCTGCAACCATTTCCGAGTTTGAATCCAATGCCATTGAAAACCTGTCGCCTAAACGCACCTGAATTTGTTTTTGTCTCAACAAAGGTAATAAAGAATGAATGTGATGCGATTCATGCACTTGCCTTTGCACGCACAATCCGTGCAGGGGCGGTGGGGTAGCCTTGTGGTTAAAGCGTTGGCTAGTCACGCCGAAGACCCAGGTTTGAATCCCCACATGGGTACAATGAGTGAAGCCCATTTCTGGTGATATTGCTGGAATATTGCTAAAAGCGGCGTAAAACCAAACTCAGTCAGTCAGACAATCCGTGCAACGGTTTCAATAGAAACCAGGAGGGTCTGATTGCTTTAGCGGCAGTTGACAAACGTAAATCTTGAAGTGAAGTCATGCCTAGATTTACCGAGGCTCAGCACCACAATGCTGGTCATTTGGGAGCTGGTGAGTCGGCACGTTTATGTATCCAAGAGTACCACAGGAAGGCTTGGGCATCAGCTGCATGGAACGACACGTGATCGTCCTCGGTCAGGATGACCCCGGGGGACAGGTTTATTCGTCTTCGACACTTACGGAACAGGTTCACGATCGCATCCTCTAGAACATCTGTAGTGCCAGGACTCCCAACAATCTCAGACCAAACTGTCAGGAACCGCATTCGTTTGGCTGATATTCGTCCTAGGAGACCCTTGCGAGGACCTTTGCGACCTATCCTTACACGACATCATCGGCAACAACGTAGACAGTGGTGTCAAAACCATCTTCAGTGGCCATTATTGAAGAACTGTCATGTTCAGTGATGAGTCGTGGGCTGGTATATGCTCAGTACAGATGGCGTCATGAACGGTATGCTCCCAATTGCGTACAGGAAGTGGACAGATTCAGTGGCTAGAGTGTTATGGTTTGGGCAGGCAGTGGAAGACTGTTATTCACGTCCAAAGCAATCTTACAGCTCGACATTACTGTGCCATAAAATCATCAGGCCTCATGTCATTCCATTCATGAACTGTCAGAACGTCATTTTCCAACATGACAATGCCCCGACCGCATACAACAAGATTCATCAGAGATTTTCTTACTCAGCACAACGTGCAGGTTCTTGCATGACCCTCCCGATCACCAAATCTGAACCCAATTGAACATTTGTGGAAGGAACTGAATAGACGTGTGAGACAATGTGATCCTCAGCCGCAGACTTTAGCTGCCTTGTTTCTGATATATATTCGTTATTCACCTCACCTCACCTCACCTCACCTCACCTCACCTCGGGGCGGTGGGGTAGCCTAGTGGTTAAAGCGTTGGCTCCTCACGCCGAAGACCCGGGTTCGAATCCCCACATGGGTACAATGTGTGAAGCCCATTTCTGATGTCCCCGCCGTGATGTTGCTGGAATATTGCTAAAAGCGGCGTAAAACCAAACTCAGTCAGTCAGTCACCTCACCTCACCTCACCTCACTCACTCACTCACTCATACACTCACTCACTCAGCCACTCACCCACTTTTGACTCCATTCCACTCACATGTAGATCTAGTAACACAAAATTGTTTGATGGATAATGAAGCTTTAATTATGTTTTTTAGTTATTCAATCCCTAGGCTGAAGGCAATGATATATTATATTTACAGTACCTGGATGGGCGCTTTAAGTCACGCACGGTGCGTCAACTTGGAACCACCCTTGGCGCCCTATCATACGTAAGTACGCCTGAATACGTATCGGAATAGATCAAGTGGAAACGGCGTAGCTCACCAACTTTCTTTGTCAAAATCAATATCCTTATAAGAACGTGTATATGATGCTACGCCCCTTACAGTGCCTGTATGCACGTCCATTGATCATGGACCCGTGAAGGTCCGGGTTAGAATATTGGCCTTCAGTAACCCATGCTTGTCGTAAGAGGCGACTAACGGGATCGGGTGGTCAGTCTCGCTGACTTAGTTGACACATGTCATCGATTCCCAATTGCGAAGATCGATGCTCATGCTGTTGGTCACTGGATTGTCTGGTCCAGATTCGATTATTTACAGACCGCCGCCATATAGCTGGAATATTGCTGAGTGCGGCGTAAATCTCAACTCACTCACTCACTCACTCCATTGATCATGGGTTCGAATCCCAAATGTACTCCGAATATTATAGTTGCTTCGTCAAGATCATGCGTATACGCCTTAATGTTAACAGACTGGTAATAGTCGTATCAACATTTGAGTTGAATTATTAAGCCCATCTGAAACCCATCTCCTCTAATGCAGTGGGTAAGAATTAAACCTTGCCAACCAAATAATCACTAAATGAATCCGGTGTGCTGGCTCTTGATTTTGCAGGTAGGGAGGCCCTTGATTTTGCAGGTAGGGAAGCCCTTGATTTTGCAGGTAGGGGGTCTCTTGATTTTGCAGGTAGCGCATTTTGCAGCCCTTGATTTTGCAGGTAGCGGAGTCTCTTGATTTTGCAGGTAGGGAGGCCCTTGATTTTGCAGGTAGCGAGTCTCTTGATTTTGCAGGTAAGGAGGCTCTTGAGTTTGCTTCCTCGAAACTATGGAGGTAGGGTGGCCCTTGATTTTGCAGGTAGGGAGGCCCTTGATTTTGCAGGTAGGGAGGCCCTTGATTTTGCAGGTAGGGAGTATCTTGATTTTGCAGGTAGGGAGGCCCTTGATGTTGATTTTGCAGGTAGGGAGTCTCTTTAGTTTGCATCCTCGAAACTATGGAGGTAGGCTGGCGCTTGATTTTGCAGGTAGGGAGGTCCTTGATTTTACAAGTAGGGAGTCTCTCGATTTTGCAGGTGAGGAGGCCCTTGATTTTGCAGCACCACGTCATTTGTAAGCCCCAATAAACTATATAGTTACCATAGCTCGTAACGCTACGAATCCTTTGAGGATAAGGACCCCGGACGTTTTTAGAGCGTGGGTAAACAACAAGGAAATGAATAAAAAGACATCTCAAACAGTTTCACACTATTTCTTAATTCCAGATATTCTACATGGGGATTGTGTTATTCGGACCAGCTATAGCACTGGAGGCAGGTATGTTTAACAAATGATATGAGAATCAGTAGAACTTCGTTTTTAAATAATTTAAAGAACTGTCCTTAGATTTGAAAACATCATTCTCGCAACATTCTGTGAAGTATTATGTGGTGGGTCACTGCTCTCTTAAATTAATTTGGTTCGCTGATGACAGAGGTAAAAAATATTCGAAATGTGTATTTGTGCCGACAAAAACAAAATAGTGAATGTTTATTTTCAAAAATAAAAAGTCTAAAATACTGCCAGCATTTATCTCATGCCAAACATTTTTAATTTTTAAAACTTTTATATCCAAATTTATTTTAAAACATGTAATTGTACTGAAGAAGAATGCTGACTAAGCACCCATACAGTTCACTGTTTTGGGTAGTTACCATTTACTTTCAAGTGGACCCCAAACATATGAGAAAATCAACTGACTGATATGCTGTGTCGGGTTTGCTCGTCAGTTTAGTAATGACGTTTATCAGTAACGACCCTATGACAGGGAAGAAACGAACTGCCTCCTCATAAGCATGTCAAGCTTGCGACGAAGCTTTAATGTTCTATCAATTTCGACAATATTTTGACCCACATTATTATATATGTATTGGGGCACATGCACTCAATTTAGCCTCCTATTGATGCAATAAAAACTTCTTATCGTAAAACGACTTGCCTGAAATCGATAATTGGAACTTCGAGGCGAACAACGTCCAAATGTAGAAAACTTGCCATATATGGAATGTAAACAAATGATCCATACATCGAAAATTGTGTTTGCCGAACTGGTTTCAATCACAAGTTGTGGGTAGGATATTCGTAAATAGCGATCCAAGGGACATAACTCTATGGGGTTCGCTTGAAATAATGTTCGGCCGGTAGAGGGGGCGAGAGTCGATTTAATGCAACATTGCATTAATTCATTCGAACGTTTTAGTTTATTGTGTAACCTAAATACGTAATTCTTTTGGAATAAATTATACGGTAGTTTCACTGTGGGCTGATAAATACTAGTATTATTGAGAGAAATGCATTATTTATTTTTAGAGAAGTGTGGTGTGATATAGTGCCTTTAAAGCTTATATTATATTCGCATACGAAACGCACTTGTCCCACTCAAATATATCCGCTAAAGAGCACATTCCATTTCTAGGATCAGGTAGCAAGCATCATTAGTTCGTGCCAACATGACACACCATCGCCTACAATGTATAGTTCTATTATCTTGAAGGACAACCTTGTTCTATTTATAGTGACGGGATTTCCCCAAGAAGGGTCGATCTTCCTGGTTGCAGCTGCTGCTATTGTTTACACAGCCATGGTGAGAAATTACAATTCATACTTTAATATAATCACCAAGCCTATTTTCTAAATCCTTATTATTCCTTGAGGGTAAAGGTTTCAGCACATCCGGTTAATTTTTGTCCAACCAGGTGCTGGGTCTCTAGCGTACACACTCCACCCGGGCACATCCCGCTGGTACTAGTGTTCAAGGCGACGCAAGGACTGGCACCAAACTATCTGCTTGACCTCATTAATGAGTATGAGCTACTCAGAGCTCTGAGATCAGGAGGACAACATCTTCTCCCAGCAAAACACGCTTTGGCGACCGCAGCTTCTACAGAGCAATCCCCTTCCACAGGAGATCAGATCCACCACAGAACTGACTACTTTTCAGTCAGAGCTGAAAACCCACTTTTCACTAAAACATATTGTTAACCATTTGCAGTTTTGTGTAGTCTCCAAAAGCGCTTCTGAGCAGTTACTAAATTGGATACTAGAGCTATCTCGAAATATCTAGTTATTAATTATTTATTATTATTATGATCTTTTGGAAACATGTAAGGGGGCTTACTAGTGAAATGTCCATTTACTATAATCAAACCAGTTCGCCTGCCATGTGTGATGCCGCTCCACACTTTGACACTACCTCCCAATACCGATCATGGTGAAAAAATGTAACCCTGGCAAATCGCTCGTCCCAACGTCACCAACAACGTATTCGGCCATCTGTTCATTCGGCGGTACACTTTGTATAACACGAGATGTTGCGTATAGGACGCCTTGGTTTCACGGTTTCAAAAACAGTGCATGTTGGATTTTCGTTTTCTAATATTGAACTGAATTCTAGAAACCATGGTTCCACCTTTGCTGCCAGGGACAGTTGTTAGAGCCACACCCTTCACAGGACGCCTTGGTTTCAGGCTGGCAGTTTTAAACAGTGCATGTTGGATTTTTCTTTTCTAACATTGAACTGAATTTTCTTTTGAAACCATGGTTCGAGATAACCAAGTTAATGAGGAAAGAAACCTTTCGAAGGGACCAAGCTTTTCTATTGTTACTTCTATACAACCGTAAGTTCATCAGGGCAAAGGTCGTCGAAGTTGACGGAACCTACGTAAATTCTTCGAGTTCTCCATGGTTCGACACAACCATGTTAATGAGTAAAGACACCTTATGAAGGGACCAAGCTTTTCTATTACTTCCATACAACCGTAAGTTCGACAGGGCGAATATCGACACAACGGTGTTTGACTCTCAACCTCTCAACCAATCCGCTTACAGTGAGTGAATGAATGTGTTTTTACGCCGCTCTCAGCAATATTCCAGCTATATGGCGTTGGTCTGTAAATAATCGAGTCTAGACCAGGCATTCCAGTGATCAACAACATCGATCTGCGCATTTGGGATACGATGACATGTGTCATCCCAGTCAGCGAGCCTGACCACCCGATCCCGCTATTCACCTCTTACGACAAGTATGGGTTACTGAAGATCAATTCTAACACGGATCTTCAAAGGTTAATACCCGCTTACAAATGAATGGTTCTAAGACAGTGCATCATGAATGGTTCTAAGATGGTGCATCAATTTGAAATCATACTATCGAGCCCATACTTCTACCGTCATGTTTCTAGAACGAGTGCATTGTTCGCAGGGTGGACTGAAAGCTGTCATCTGGACTGACGTCTTCCAGGCTGTTGTGATGTTTGCAGGAATGCTTGCAGTCATCATCAAGGTAGGCCATTTCAAGAACGTCATGAAACTAGGTTTTGTCCCTGTAAGTATCGCCTTTTCAAAACTAGGCAAACTGAACGCGATTATTTTCGGAGTTTGAATAATAATTGACTTTATCGTGATCATTATTTAAAGCCTCATAATCGATCCACGTAATTAATTTAGACAACACGCAATCAGCCAAATCACATGACCATTGGATCCGTTTAGTGAACAGTTATTCAGATTCAGAGTTTATTGAGTATGTTTTGGCCATGAGACCAATAGTACAGTGTTAATACAGGTTATAAATACACAATTAACAGAGCGCTTAGTGGTTTACAGAATTTCCAAACTAAAACATTTCATTCACAAAAAGAGCTAGCTTAAATTACAAATTCACATTATGTGTAGTAATGAAGAATATCAACTTATACATTGATGGGTAGTTGTAATAATATGCAGGTAAATACGTAATACGAAAATTGTTTATAAGATGTACACATTAGCATAACATGGTATTCATCATCTTCCCCTTCTAAACAAAATTCACATAAAGTGTACAATTATTAGCTGCTATGAGGCCACATTCGTACATATTCGCCATATTCGAATATCCACGATTCCTTTGTACTCGTGCCGAACCTGTCTCAAGATGTATGAGTTTCAATTCAAATTGAAATGTTCAAAGGATTTGACAGCAAATCGATATCGATATCACCCTGCCTGTATCAACATGAAGACAAAAAAATATTGTATTCTTGGCTTACCTCAATATGCTGTAGCCACGTGTACTGCAGGCGACGTTTCTCTCCCTACGAGTCCCATTTTGAAAAGTTGTCAAGCAATTCATCACATTGCATGCAAAATATCATCTAAACAAAGGATTTTCCTTTGTTTGTTTCAGCTCAATATTTTCAATCATTTTTTCATTATTATATTCTATATGCATTCTAATTTTTCTTTCCTTACTTATTTGTCTGTATAGATACTTCTTTTCCTTTTCTGTATGGTGATATCAATTATTATTATTATCATCATAGAACACCAGGAAGTGTGTACGGGAAGTTTTAAAGAATATTACGAATAGTAACGGGATATCTTTTATTATGTAATATGTTGAGGTACGATATTAATATTACTGTGTTATGTTCCTACATCGCTGGGGCGGTGGGGTAGCCTAGTGGTTAAAGCGTTGGCTCCTCACGCCGAAGACCCGGGTTCGAATCCCCACATGGGTACAATGTGTGAAGCCCATTTCTGGTGTCCCCGCCGTGATGTTGCTGGAAAATTGCTAAAAGCGGCGTAAAACCAAACTCTGTCAGTCAGCAACATGTTACGTACATTATTGTTCTGGCTGTCGATTTCGACCAGATACAAATGTAGAACACAAAATGTCTCCGGTAGAGATTAAATACCATGGTCATGTTCACAGACATCTCGTTTGTGCATTTCAGGGGACAATTGATGCAGGTGGAATCAAGGCGGTCTGGACAACTGCGGCTAAAGGGGGACGTCTTAATTTCTTTAAGTAAGATTTGACAATTCCATATAATAGAATTATTTAGTGGATTCTCAATATGTTCAAATGCGAGATGTACATTGTACACTATTCCATGTACGTAAGAAATAATGCTTTCAAAAATATTCCAATGTTAAACAAATTTAGAATGGGATATGTCACCTTCAGTGAGAGATGAAATGTGCCCAAAATATCACAGCTGTTGACACTACAGTCCGTTTGAGTCAGAAACGGACCGATGAATTGCAAATTTTATCATTGTACAAAATTGCCACATAAAAATAAATAGTACACATGTTTATCATTTACTAATACCCAACAGCTTTCTTATATTTGAAAATTTTCCGGACTCCACCAAAAAAGTTCTTTAAGAAACTATCATTAAAATTTTGACACAGTTCACTATTTGTTACGAGGGAGGAGTGCAGAGAAAGGGACAGCCAGGTGTTAGCGAAGCACGTGCACAAGTGCCCACCAAGTTCTTGATTCATTAGCCTGTGCTGTGCCGTCTCCATCCTTTCTCGCACACCTGGCTGTCCCTTTCTCTGCACTCCTCCCTCGTAACAAATAGTGAACTGTGTCATAATTTTAATGATAGTTTCTTAAAGAACTTTTCAAATGTAAGAAAGCTGTTGGGTATAAGTAAACGATAAACATGTGTACTATTTATTTTTATGTGGCAATTTTGTACAATGATAAAATTTGCAATTCATTGGTCCGTTTCTGACTCAAACGGACTATAGAAATGGACATACACCGTTGTGTCTGTGTGAGGAATCGAACCCAGATCTTCGATGCTAAGATAATTTCACAGACTACAGTTTCACAGAACGACATTGCACTGTAATAGACCTACTAACTTCCAATGGTAACGACAAAGATATAATTGTAGTGTGGAATCCCGGTTCGACTTGATAATGTTTCTTGGTTTGTCCGCACTATTTGGTTTCATCAACGTGGTTAACGTCAGCATCACTTATGGACTTATTACCTCATAAATGCCAAGATATTCCTGAAATACCGTTAAAATCAAATGCTATACCCATGAGGGCGCGGTGGGCGAGCTGGCTAAGGCGCCAGGCTAGTGATCCAGCGAGGTTGTGTTGCCGGGATCGAGCCCTCCTGTGACCGGGTTATAAAAACCTTGGAGTCAACTTTGTGTACAGACTCTTTCCGTGTTGTCACAACCCCTAGTGTACAGTACACAAGAACCCACGAATTCGTTGGTATATGACCAGATGGTGGCCACATGAATACGTGCAAACACCTAGTTGCGGGTACAGCAACGTGCAGTTATCTTGGACAAAGTACTGTGACAATGTGTCCCAGTCCACCCAGCTGTGAATGGGTACCTCGTTAGGATGAGAAAGCCACAATAACTCGGTGCGCCTACTGGCAGCAAGAGTTGTATACTCCCCAGGGAGTTAAGATTGATAATACGATGTGCCGTTGAGATTGACATCCAATGATCGAGGGAAAAATACCAGCGCCTTAAGGATGCACCAGTTGAGCGGATATGTGCGCTATATAAATATCATATGAAAGATCCGGGGTGGAAGTAATCTTCAACATATCATACAACATGTATATTATTTTCTTCACGAGGCGCTGTCTCACAAACCATGGTCTTCTAACCTAGTTTTGACTTCGACCCCACTGTTCGTCATACTTTCTGGGGGCTACTTCTGGGTACATTCGCTCGGTCGTCCGGCCTGGTCTTCAACCAGTCGACTATACAGAGGGTCTGTTCAACGCCAACACTCGCTGCTGCCAAGAAGTGAGTCATGTAAAACTATGACCTAACAAGAATTGCCCTCCCTGTAGATAGAAGTTGAAACATACAGGAGGGAAATTCGTGCTGTGGCATTTTTTTGTAGATTCTATCATACATATTCCTTAAATAATACCTCATTTGTCACTCAGTGTCAAAATCATGCAGTAAGCACGTAAAAATTCACCATCGGCACCAAAAAGCAAAACTAGGTTGTTGCAGCAAAACATGATAGCCTTTGTTGCTTGGGTGTCATCGTGTACCAATTGCACGGATCAATGTTCTTGACGTCAATCAATCAGGCAATTCAGTGATCAACTTTATGAGCATCGATCAGCGCAGTTGGGTTACGATATGCCTGACCATCTGTTCCCGTTAGTTGCATGGGTTCATGAAGCAATTCTAACCATGGTCTTCACGGGTACTATCCATATGAAGTTGTGTTCCTGTTTCTGTCTTTCAGAGTAATGCTAATAGTGAGTCCTGCGTTCTGGATAACACTCACCGTGGCTTTGATAGAGGGCGTCGTAGCCTATGCTTACTATGTGAACGTCGGATGTGATCCTTTGGAATCAGGCCAAATACAGAACCCGAATCAGGTCAGTTTTCTTCAATCACTAAGGACGTTCATTATTACAAGAATTCTGGCAACATTTTGTGCTGGTTTTGTTAGAATTAGTCAATTAAAAAACCCATTTCTGTTGAAAAACGAAATTATTTAGTTCAATGTTTCTTAACGTTACCTTTGTAAATAAGGTCTGATGAAGACCAGATACTATTGTCCATCCAACACAATATATTATTTATAGCTAACGATGAAAATATTTCTAGTATCAATGAAGAAAACGCTAGCACTATTTATTAAAAAAATCAAAAGAACATTTTTTCTGTTTGAACAATTCTTGGCACGAAATAATAACACGCTGAAAGGCCGTCACACTTTTCCGTACCTTAATTCCTTATGAGTTGCGCATTGACATTTCTATCATACCCAGTCGTACGCATCTCATATGTATGTATGCTGTCACATGACAGCTCCATAGTACGTTTGCATAATGTTTATATTTCCTTCAGATCATACCATTTATGGTAATGGATATTTTCCGGGGTTTGCCTGGCATGCCTGGACTCTTTCTGGCCGCTTTATTCAGTGCATCTCTCAGGTAACTTCTTGGAGAGGCATTTTTCCTTCATCTCACAGGTAGGCAATGTCTGTACACTCTCTTGCCCCAGTACGTCTATAATGCATGCAATACCTGGACTCTTTCTATCCGCTTTATCCAGTGCATCTCTCAGGTAACTTTTTGGAGAGGCATTTTTCCTTCATCTCACAGGTAGGCAATGTCTGTACACTCTCTTGCCCCAGTACGTCTATAATGTATGCTATGTCTGGGCCATCTCCGTCAGCTCTATTCCGTGTCTCTGTGGAAGATAATGCAGGGACTCTCTCTGTCCACTGTGCGTCTGTAAGGAAGGTGATGTACTAGACTATATCAGGTCCCACTGTGTCTGTAAGGCGGGCGATGTACTAGACTATATCAGGCTTTATTCCGTGTCTCTGTGAAAGATAATGCAGGGACTCTGTGCGTCTGTAAGGTAGGTGATGTACTAGACTATATCAGGTCCCACTGTGTCTGTAAGGCGGGGGATGTACTAGACTATATCAGGTCTCAGTGTGTATGTAAGGTAGGTGATGTGCGAGACTTTATCACTGAATACAGTGATACTTTCCCTGATATGGACTTTTTTTGCCACCCGATATGGGCAGGATCGGCAAGGTCATATCTGGACTCGGGCAAGATATCGATATCTTCACCGTCCATTTTGTACACGACGTCACGGAACGTTAATGAATCGAATGGCGTTACATCAAGAATAACGTAATAGAGATGACGTCATGTTAGATCATCCTTTCATCATGGCCGGGGAAAGGACGCTAGCGTCTTTATCACGATCGCTTCAACTGGAAGATTTAGTGGAGAGGGAGGAGTAAGGATGAGTGAGTGAGTCAGCGAGTTAAAATTTATCGTCACATCGGCAATATTTCAGCCATATCGTGACGAGAACAATTAATTTTATACATAGTAATTAATGGTAATTGTAAAACCTGTCAACGAAGGACAGTAAAATAACTAGATGATCACAGATTCGAATTTAAAACTAGTAATTAAATCTAAAACAGTTTAACTAGAGATGACAATACAAGGTAAAAACAGGCTATATATTGCCAACAACTGAAGGTAGATCACCATACTAGGGACCATGGGGACTTACAGTACATTTGCTTCCTGCATGGACCCTAGCTGGATTTACACCATCCCTTCAGCTATTAGCAATTTTAGATAATCTAGCCACAAATTAAACGAACATATATTCTACGATTAAAATGGTAGTAGGTTTAAATTTACTTTGAATGTTTTGGGACTTACGTACCCTCTCAGGAGGACAATAATTTTACAGTACTTTAACCCCCTTTGAGGGTACAGCCACTCAATCTAAGTTACTAATCTAAACTACATATCATTAAAATACATCTATCTACAGAACATATTAATCAAAATCCATTAATTAAATCAATTTCTTTTATAAAACCAAGAATTAAATGAAAATGAACAGTATTAAAAAGACCCTTAACAGTTTTAACATTGAAATATTTATCCCTTATGATGGAGAATTCAACACAGTCAAGCAGGAGATGCTTGACTGTGACTCTCTCATCACAAGGGATACAAAACGGAGGATCTTCACCTTTTAACAGATATTTGTGAGTATAACGCGTATGGCCAATGCGACATCGTCGCATAATGACCTCTTCAAATCTGGACTGACAACCCAAGTAGGTGTAACCAATATAAGGTTATATTTCATGTAATTTATTGATACCTACCTGGGTGTCCCACTTCTTCTGCATCAGACCACGGATGTAGGTTCTAATGTTAGCTTTGTAATCAAAGAATGGGATAAGAAGTGGTGTCACAGATTTATTGAGTGCTGCCTTGGCAGCAAGATCAGCCATTGTATTCCCAGAAATGCCAACATGGCTGGGTAACCAACAAAGGACGATGTCGTATTGGCCAGTAGCAAGATCATTATATAGTTCAATAATCTCAATTAAAAGTGGATGTTTACAAGAAAGAATTTTAATAGCCTGAAGGCAAGAAAGAGAGTCGGAAAAGATTATATATTGTTTATATTTAGGATGTCTATTAATATATTTAAGAGCTGTTAGTATTGCATTAGCTTCTGCTGTGAATATTGAGCTGTCATCAGGTAATCTGGAGGATATTGTTCTGGATCCAATGACAGTGGCACAAGCAACTGCGCCACCATCCTTGGACCCATCTGTAAATAAGGATTTGTATGTATTATATTTACTTTTTAATTGATTATATTCTTGTTTATATTGTAATTCATTAGTTTCCGATTTCTTATACTGTGTCAGTGTTAGGTCAACCTGTGGCCTTACTAATTGCCAAGGAGGAGAAGAAAGAAGAGGGGAAGGAGCTATATTTTCCAGCTCAATGCCGGCAGCAGAAATAAATGGTTTAATTCTTAAACCAAGAGGCGGAGCAAGAGAAGATTTCTTATTGTATAAATCCTCATATAGGGGATTGAAGACACAGTTATATATGCAGGGTTAGATTGATTAGAGTATAGTTTTGTAATATATTGTAAAGATAATTTTATACGGCGTTGTGTAAGAGATGGCGCATCTGCCTCGACGTAAAGGCTGTCAACAGGAGAAGTTCTAAAAGATCCAAGACAAAGTCTTAGACCTTGGTGGTGTACAGAATATAATAGTTTTAGGTTGCTTTTGCAGGCTCCACCATATACGATGGAGCCATAATCAAGTTTTGATCGGATGAGTGATCTGTACAGTTGGAGGAGAGTCTTCTGATCCCCTCCCCATTTGCAATTTGAAACTACTTTTAATAAATCCAGTGCATTGAGGCATTTAGTTTTATGTTTTACTGTTTTATGTGCGGTAGAAAGGTCAAGTGTTGATCAAAAACAATACCAAGAAACTTAGCCTCTTTTACAACTTTGATAGGAGCTCCATCCAATACTAAATCTGGGTCCTTATGTGGCTTATATTTTCTGCAAAAATGAATGCAGTTGGTCTTGGCTTTTGAAAATTTAAAACCATTTTCAAAACACCATTTATGAATCTTATTTAGACATAACTGCAACTGCCTTTCAATAGTATTCATGTTCTTACCGCGACAAGAAATATTAAAATCATCCACAAAAAGTGATCCATCAATCGAATCATTTAAAACCTTTGATAAACTGTTGATTTTAACGCTAAACAAGGTAACAGACAAGATACTTCCTTGTGGGACACCCTGATCCTGATTGTAACGGTCAGACAGGGTAGAACCCACTCGGACTTGAAATTGTCTGTCTTCTAAAAACTGAGATATCAATTGGGGTAAACGGCCCTTCAACCCAAAGTCATGGAGATCTTTTAGAATTCCATACTTCCATGTCGTATCATATGCCCTTTCAAGGTCGAAAACGATTGATACAGCATGTTGTTTATTTAACATGGAATTGTTAATAAAAGATTCTAAACGTACCAAATGGTCGATGGTACTTCGATTTTTGCGGAAACCACATTGAATGTTAGTGAGGTTGGTGGTTTCCAGGTACCAAACTAAACGATTATTAACCATAGTCTTACAAACGCAGCTAGTAAGTGATATTGGTCGGTAGTTAGAAGGATCAGTATGATCCCAACCACGTTTAGGGATAGGAATGACAATAGCATTTCGCCATGATGATGGGAAATGACCAGAAGTCCATATATTGTCAAAGATAGTCAATAATGTTTCTAAAGACGATACAGGTTAATGTTTAAGAAGCTGATAATGAATATTATCGGGCCCTGAAGCAGTGTCATGAGCTTGCCCAAGGGCAGTATGGAGCTCATGAATGGAAAAAAAAATCATTATGATCCTCCCTGTTGTCTGATATAAAAATTAAATTTCTTTTTTTCTTGTTGGTCTTTAAATTTCTTAAAGGCTGGTAAATAATTAGACGAGGAGGAATGTTTAGCAAACATTTAACCAATTTTATGGGCAATATCAGATGTTTCAGTTAGAAGAGTGTCACCCTCCTTAAGATGGTGGACACCACATGTGGATCCTTTGCCTTTAATTTTGTCTGCACCATATTCCCAACCTTAGAAATTGGTGTTCGTGAGTTGATCTTAGAAACATAGTTTTGCCATGACTGTCGTCTATTTTGCTTTTATGTGCGACGAGCCTTGGCATTCGAAATTTTAAACTGGTTCAAATTATGGACAGTTGGATGTCGACGGAAATATTTTTCTGCCTTCTTTCTCGCCTTTCTAGCTTTCTAGCTAACCTTTTACGAATGTGTGGGATTGTAGAGGATTTTGGAATACATTTATCAGCAATGGTATTTAGTTCATCAGAAAATGTTTGAATAGGATCAGTAACATTAAGGAATAAGTTAGGTTGCAATCTTTCAGTGTATAATGTATGAAATAAAGACCAATCGGCTTTTGTAAAGTTCCACCTTGATGATGGTGGAGCATCACCAGGATGTACAGTTGATAGAACCATGGGAAAATGGTCACTTCCACAAATCGTGAACCGACCATTCAAATTCATTTAATAAGTTTGAGTCTGTCAGTGAAAGATCTATTGAAGAATAACTTCCAGTTCCAGGATGTAGATAAGTATGTGAATTATCATTTAATATACATAAATCATTATTCGAAATGAAATCCTCAAGTATTTTTCCTTTTGTATTTATTATTGTACCACCCCAAAGTGGATTGTGGCCATTCAAGCCACCTGTGAAAATACAAGGTTTAGGGAGTTGATCATATAACTCTTGAAGATCTGATTGCTGAAGACAGGATGAGGGTGTAAAGAGAACATAAAGTGCAGAGTAAGCCTAACTACAACTGCTTGAAGAGGGGTATTAAGTGGGACAGGACTATGGATCATACCCTGCCTCACAATAATTGAAGATCCTCCCGTAGCCTTATGCCCTGGAGGGGAGAAACAATGGAATGATGTATACCGTCGTAAGTCAAGGTATCAGTTGATTTGAGATGTGTCTCTTGCAAGCATAAAGCTGATGGTTTCAAATCTTGAACTAAAAGCTGTAAATCATTCAAATTATTCTTCATTCCTCTACAGTTCCACTGGATTATATTTTGAGAATTCATTTAGGGGGTGCTATGGGAGAAAGCTCCCGACCTTTCTTTTTGGGAGAATGGCTCTTGGAGCCGATGCTCAGTTGGGATGACACATCCATGTCATCTAAGAGATCGAACCTGTTTAAAATGGACACAGGGTCTCTTTGTCCTTTTGGAACTCGTTCACTTCTATTTTGCTTATTTGAATAGTCAACGTTAGCATTTTTCTTTTTAACAATTGGTGCAGCTGTTTGGGTTTCTGATGATTTTGATACTTTTTGTGAGGACGATTTAGAAGTTGTGCCAGAGTGAGTAAGATCATGAACACACATAGGGGTCTGTGTATTCACCCAGGTCAAGTCGGTTTGACAATCAATGGAGTGAGTGGAGGGTTTCATCACTTCAGCGTAGGTGGACTTACCCCGCAGTGGAGTGTTGCCAGATGGTGTAGCTGAAGCAGCCAACTTCCTTGCTTCTGAAAAACTAACATTCTTTTCTGTTTTGATGCGTTGGGCGGCCATTTCAAATTTCCAAACAGTACACTCTTTAGAGGAGGATATGTGTGAACCAGAACAGTTCACACATTTTGGCTCTGATGTACATGTACCACTATCGTGATCTTTGTCACCGCAACGAAAACAAGCAGCATGATTTTTACATGAGTTTTGTCCGTGGCCGAATTTCTGGCAGTTAAAGCACCTGAGAGGATTAGGAATATACAGGTCAATTTTCATAGAGAAGCATCCGACTTTAAGAGATTGTGGCAACTTTGGAACATCAAATGTAAGCAGATAAGTATTGGAAGGCGAATAGACACCGTCTTTCTTGAATGTGAAACGCTTCGCCTCAACTACACCCTGCATTCTTAATTGACTTACTATGTCATCCGTGGAGAGATCAGCTAGACTCCTATCTCTGTCTCGGATAATGCCTTTGCTGAAGTTGAGAGACTTGTGTGGATAACATTTTACAGGAATGTTTGCAAAGGATTTTCTTTCCATGTAGATTTGCTGCTTGTTCTCTCTTGACACATTCTATTAGAATTGAGCCAGATCTAATTGTGGTTACATTTTTAACAGTTCCAGCAATACCTTGAATTGCTTTTTTCTTATAGAAACAGGAAGTTAACTTTTTCTCACTAGACTGCATAGCATAGTCTGGTAATTGTATTTCCTCCTCATCAGTGTCATCTGCATGTTAACGTTTTTGTTTTTTGGAGGTTTTGTGAAGCCATGATTGTACAGTTTGTGGTTCACTCTCCTGGCTCCCCACCCACGATGGAGTGTCAACAAGGACGATGCCATATGCCTGTGGACCTCGAACAGGCGGCATCAAGGATACCAAGAGAGTATACTCAAGCAGTAACATTGAATATAATGTACTACCAGATTGGCCCATGAGCCATCGCCTTCTGGGCAAATAAAGACTCTAGGCAAATTTATAATAAGCATATTTCCAAAACAAGAACACTTTGATAAACAAACTAGGCCAAGACCTAAAGTAAACAGTCAATTTAGAAATAGAATTTGTGCAAATACAAAATCATGCACAGGGCTTTGCATGACCAGCCGATTGATTGAACCGGGCCCATTCAACCACCCGTCTAGGTGAAGTAAGGGGCGAAGTGGTGTGTTGGGCAAAGGAACGCTATTCCTGGAACCAGTGCCCTCAACCACTAGACTCCCGCCCTCCACCGACACAGGGGCGCAATCCACGGCAAACAGGTTGGTGGACCAAATATACCCCCGAGTGCACACGGGGGGTTGAAGAGCTCTTAGCGTTACCCAGCACCCACCACGAGGAGGTTCCTCTTCACGGGTGCCGTCTCGTGATGATTTCGGGCAAGATATGAAAAACGAAGTAAGTCTACATATCAGGTCCCAGTGCGTCTTTAAGGCAGGTGATGTACTAGCCTGTATCAGGTCTCAGTGCGTATGCAAGGTAGGTGATGTACTAGACTATATCAGGTCCCAGTGCGTCTTTAAGGCGGGTGATGTACTAGACTATACCAGGTCCCAGTGTGTCTTTATTCTGCGCAACAAATTCTATTTTGAAAATATATGGAACTTAAATATTTTTTAAAATTACAGAGCTATCATCACGAAAGCCGTAGTTTTCTTTTCGTTTCGATGTCATTTTGTCTGATGTGGCTGAAGTATTGCTAAAATACTTACTCTGAAAATCATGTAATCTACATTTTACGAAGAGAATTATTATATGCTGGATCGATGCCACTTCGATATGTATAAGTAACAGTACTTTTCAGGATCAGTCACGCACCTTTTATGTTTCTACAGCACAATTTCATCTGGACTCTCCAGTCTGTCCGCGATGACCTGGGAGGACGTTCTCAAACCACGCCTACCAAATGTTTCCGACTTCACAGCAACGGTGATAGCTAAAGTGTCAGGTGAATGTTACATCAGGTTTACTGCCATCGTTGTATAGCTTTTTCATAACTTAATCCGTTTCACTTTCATGAGATATGTGAGGTATACTTTACACGGGTGACAATATCTTTAGGATTCCTATTATTTCCTTCAGGGTCGACCTGATGATAAAGTCAGGAAGGGACGGGAAGGGTTTATAGAAATGTGTAACCTGTTTCCAAAGAGCTGGAGGAAGAATACTAGTCTTTGATGCGATGTTTGTTAGACAGGCTTAAAATAAAATCTCCGATTGCCTTTACTGTAATTGCTGTAATATTATTGTTTGTGCACGCATCTGTAAAATGTTCAATGAATTGCTTTTACGTGGTCCCGGGGGCTTAATATCGAAATATACCGATCTGACCTGACTGTCCTGTTGTAGGTATAGCAAGGTATACTCCACCCAAAAAAGTTAAGGACCACCAATTTTTCAATATTAAAGTATTTAATAGTTCATATTATGATCCATATAATGCTTAAATATTGAATATTGGGGTGGTCCTTAACTTTATTTGTTGAGTATATTTGTGTCCTTCAGTGACTCTTGTTATATAAAGGTATATATTGTATGTCACTGCCCCGTACTATTTCCAGTTGTTGCGTTCGGGTTTCTTTCTTGTGGAGTGGCCATCCTGATTTCCTTCATTGGAGGAACGCTCACGCAGGTACTGTATAAAGTTTCCATGCTTAAATATGTGATCGATGTTTTGGTAACCCCTCCAGCGGCTGTTTCGGCGCTTATGAACTGGTCTGTAAGAAGATGGGAACTTGTATCCGCATTATTTCATACGTGCTAAAACCTATTATTCCAAGGCTTTATTGATATTATCTTTAATTTTATTTGATAAGCTGTTCAAGGTAGTGTTTACCTGTTGCCGTAAATCATAAAAAAAATAGTGTTGATGAATTATTGTAATGTGGACGAGGGAGGATACAGACGAAAGTGCACTTTGTTCCAGATAAAGAGAAAATAAAAAGTCACGGTCAAAGGTTTCAAAAATATTCTAAAAATATATTAAAACATTTTTCGAAAAATATATAATAATTATGAGCCCTGTAGACACTGTTTAGCCTTACAATTACATTTAGTGTTATTATTTAAAAGTATCATTTGAATTTTAAAATTATTTAAATTCTGTGAATATTACTGCATTTAGAACTACCTTGTTACAATTTCGATCGTGGGGCAGTAACTTTATGATCTCACAAGACAGAAAAATAGGTATACCCAAATGTGAAAGATTTTGCCCTTTTTTGTAAAGTGATTGTGTTGAAACAGAAGTTCATGTTTACCTTGTACGCCCCTTTTCTATTAATCTGAGATGTAATATTCTCCCACAGTATTATTGGGAATATCCTTCAGAAAATAAGTTCTTTTTTCTGCTTACTTCTAATAACAGTTTTACTCTAAATTGCCTAGACAAGTTTTTTTAGCCCTTAAGAAACGGAATAACTTCTTGACTGTGTGATTTACATAATACCATTCTCTCAGAATATTACTGATGTATACATGTGTGCTGTGGTCTCATCTCGATTATCCGTGTGGCGCACCGTATCACCAGTAAGAATTAATGTATTGTAACATGGGCATGTTAGTTTACTGAATAAACATCTCTCTCATGTAAATCGTGTCTCTGGTATCAGACAGTTTCTTCTCAAGGGAACCAACCAACGGTGGTACATGAGAAAAGTACAATATAAATTCGCATATGATAATATAATCAATCAAGATGACAGCAATATAAGGTAAATACATATATATAGTGAAATTTTGAATGAAATATGACAAAGTAAGTTAGCAATATTCTCATGCAGCTGCAACTAGTCTGAAGATGATGTTGATAATTTTAGACAGGTTTTTCACATTTTTTACTCTGGTGCTTGATAAACATTTTTTAAGTTGGACATATTAGGCCATTCGTAGAGATCTTTATGTATGTGTATAGACCGCGGCTGGAGAAGGGCTTCACACCTGAACAGGTAGTGGAACTCATCACCAACCGCCGGGGCATTACATAGATGGCACAAACGTTCCACAGCAACATTCCAGTTACATGATAAATGTTACATGATAAATGTAACGTAGTGTTCTCTACCTGATAATGACTATTTCGTGTGTTGATTTATATTTATCAATTAGTGCCAAATTAAAAAAATCAGGCTTTAAGAAAACATTGCGTTTTCTCAGGCACAACCCGCTTATCTATTTTAAGACCTGGTGACATCACTGGTCGTATACATTTCATCGGTAATTTTCGTTTTGTGGTCAACGGAATTCGTTCAGTTCAATTTGACGTTTTGTTTCAAAATGCATATGTTTATACGAATCATGGTTCTTGTTTTAGATAGCCACATCGGTGTTATCCGCGTTCAATGGCCCTCTGTGTGGTCTGTTTATCATCGCATCTCTGTGTCCATGGGCTAACGCTAAAGTAAGTAATCCTGAACTGACTAAAGTTTCAGGCGTGCATTCAATGACACTGAAAAGTAAAACTGGAAAGCAAAACATGAAATGCATTACTTCTACAGAACCTCACATAGTAACATCAACATTTCATCCAAAACGATAATAGCTATGGCACTACCAGTCATAGGTGTCGTCTTCATTGTTGTATTCATCATGAAGTGTTACCTCTCTTGAGTGTAAAAGCAACCTCTGAATGGTGAGTTCGGATCCCGAATCGGCTTAGGTTTGTATAGAGGTTAGTCAGCACCGCTCCCGTTCTTAATTTGGTTTGTTATTTTATGCCCCACTCAGCTATATGACGTCGGTCTGTCAATAAATGAGTCTAGACCAGACAATGCAGTGACTGACATATATATATGCCACATTTCTATAGGGCCCTATTTGAACTACTTCAAGATCACTCTAAGGCGCTTCACAAGTTGTTTTTCCCTTAATCATTGGATGTCAATCTCAAACGGCACATTCTATTTTCAATCTCAACTCCTTTGGGAGCACACTCTTGCAGCCTTAAGACTGCCCGAGTTAATGTGGCTTTCCTCACGAGGTACCCATTCACAGCTGGGTGGATTGGGACACATAGTCACAGTACTTTGTCCAAGTTTACTGCACGTTGCTGTACCCGCAGATTTGTGTGGCCATCATCTGGTCATTTACCAACGAATTCGTGGTTGTGCACGGTCCACTAGGGTTTGTGACAAAACTTAAAGAGTCTGCGCAGAAAGTTGACTCTAAGGCTTTTACACCCGGTCACACCTCAGGCTCGCTGTATCACTAGCTTGGCGAGGTAGACAGCTCGCACACGACGCGAACCCTGTTGAACACGTTCACGTTTCATGTTAAGTTATATTATTTAAAATACATTTGGGCTACACAGGGAGCTATAGCTGGAGCCGTTGTAAGTGCTGCGCTGATGATGTGGCTGTGTGCTGGAGCCACTTTCTCTGGAGCCACAAGACCGACCCCCTGGCTGCCTCCAGCTCCAACAGACCAATGTTCTGTGGATAACATGACGTCACTGATCATGAATACAACGGGACTAATGACGTCAACAACAGAACTGCATGACGTAACAACAGTTGGAGCTGTAGCCGAACCGGTGTAAGGGCTTTATAAAATATATTTCTTATCATATTGGACATTTCAATAGCCAAATGGGATGAAGAAAGCGCTTCAATCCGTATATTATGAGAGCGAGAGAGAGTGAGAGTGAGAGAGTGAGTGAGTGAGTGAGCGAGGGAGGGAGGGAGGGATAACCCTGTGTTAACTGTGCACTATTCCTTGTATAACATGTTACACGGCTAGTATTTAGAGGATCTTCTGCAAATGTTTTTCGTTCATGTTAACAAAGATAATCTTTACTGTTTCAACGAATTCGAATATCCTATTCTGTTCACTTCATAATAGCAAAGGACCCGTGAAGGTCCGGGTTAGAATGTTGGTCTTCAGCAACCCATGCTTGTCAAAAGAGGCGACTAACGGGATCGGGCGGTCAGGCTCGCTGACTTGCTTGACACATGTCATCGGTTCCCAATTGCGTAGATCGATGCTCATGCTGTTGATCACTGGATTGTGTGATCCAGACTCGATTATTTACAGACCGCCGCCATATAGCTGGAATATTGCTGAGTGCGGCGTAAAACTAAACACACTCACTCACTCATAGCAAATGTGTTTCATCTTGTTTATTCCAGGACGGGCATCAGTGTCATATACACTCTGTCGTACCTGTGGTTGGCCGCTGTTGGCATAGCTGTCGTTGTGATCGTGGCTTTCTTCGTCAGCTGGGCAACAGGTACAGAGTACATTGCCGATCATTTGATCATCGGGTTTAGGGGATGTCAGGGATTTTGTTGGTGGCACACAATCTCTTTCACTGAAATATGGAACCGAACAGTTATTCAACATATGTTATATTTAGGTTTACACTTCCTCAGCAAAGTACAGGTTCTAGAAGTATTTTGAAATCGTTCCCCCTCCATTACCCCTGCCAGCTTCGGTTCAACAGAGTGAAGGAACAGGGGAGTTATACCTGTTATACCTGTATATACCTATTAATATACATGTGGAGTCACGTGTCCGCAAAAATAACTACTTGCGGAGTTACCTCCCTTGCTTTTATTCACCCACTGCGTAAGAAGTGTTATTTAAAATGTGTTAATTTTGGGATTACACTTTCTCAGCAAAGTACAGGTTCCAAAACTATTTTTGGATTGAGTCCAATCCGGGATTCGAACCCAAGCTCTTAGAGTAGGTCACCCAGTCACCAGCACACAAAGTTAGCAATCTAACCCACTGAGTCATCGCAGCTTCCACAAAAAATGTCTGACAACTAGCAGTCTAGATTACGTTCTCTGTGTACCAGTCTGACTAGCTATTTTTGATAAAACTGTTTTCTGAAAAATTCACAAAGAATATTACATGAGCTGTGCCCCAGACACCAACACCATACTGGGGTGGATTTGATTTACATCCTAACAGATTATTCATCAATTAGCTATCGTTAGGTTGTTGTCAACCACGCCTCCTATAATAAGGACAAAATTTGTTAATACCATGAAGGAGTGGACTGTTTCCGCTTCCGGTGATGCTGAATATTCCTGAGTGTCAATATGTTAAAAACATCTACCGCTTTGATAAAAGTCGGGAAGTTTTCAATGGCAGATTCTGTATCGATTCGGACTTTCTGACTGGTCAGGATTAAGGCAGGTGGCGATATATTAATTATACTGATCCTGATTTGAATGCTGATATTAGAACCAATCGTTAGCTGTGTGTCCTGAATGTGAGCCTCTAATGTTTCTATTCAAAAGAGACGACACATATAACGTTTAATGTTTCACCAACACACATGCACAAAATTGGATTTCTTGTCAACTATTTGTTATTACAGTAGCATCTGTCAAATCCGGACTCTTTGTCGGCACATATAATGTATTATGTTTCATCAACACAACACAGAGCGATATGCGCGTTGCTGCGCCACAGGAAATACGGAATTTACAAGGGTCTTACAGTCCCGTACACCCTTTCAAAACACCGTGTGACAATCTTATTACTCTTAAGATCTTTTTATTTAGCTTATCTTTAAACAACAACATTCAATCATCGGCAGAATGAGACGCAAAACATTTCGCCATGAATTTTCCTGAACGGTCATAAAGGGAGATAACTCGGGATGGCTTAGTTTATGATAAAAATTTCGAATTTGAGGTTTTGTTAAACGACAAGTGAAATACAAAAACATTTAATTTTTTGTATATATATATTGACACAAGCAAATAAGAAATTATAGCAACAATTTTATTACTCTGTTTATACTCATTCATGTATACGCCAACTCTAAGATTTCGAAGCGATGAGCCGTTGGACAGCCACATTCCATCTAAGGCCAAGGTCATTCGTACAACCCGTGTAGTGTGTCACATTTATTTGACAGGTTTCAACAGAGATGGGAACCTGGATCCTCGCCATGTCATATATCTGTCTGACGTCATTAGAAATATATTTACCCGCGGGAAAAAGACCAACACGGATGAGGTATGTGCCCACAAATTCACAATGTGTTTAGTTGTTGTTTCAAGTCGCACTTCAGCTTTGTGGCGGTAATGTAAATAATCGAGTCTGGATCAGACAATCTGGTGATTGACATCATCGATTTACACAACTTGAATACGATGGCGAGAGTAAACCCGCCCGATCCTGTTAGTCACCTCTTGTAAGCATGGATTGCTGAAGACCTATTCTAACCCAGATCTTAAGGGGTCCAAAAGTACCATGTGTTCATCGATGTACAGGTATATGTGTTTGCATGGTACGTAGATCGATGCTCATGCCTATCATCACTGGATTTTCTGGTCCAGGCTTGATTATTTATAAACCGCCGCCATATAGCCGGAACATTGCTGAGTGACGCTACAACAAACAAACCATACAAACGATCGTAATTCGTACAATGCATAGTATTGGTATATATACTCATGCCAATAATGGTTGTCACCCCTCTCCTCACCCCAACCCCACACACCCTCTCCAATAAAAAAAATTCAAGGGGATGACAACCATTATTGGCATGAGTATACATTTAGTTAAGCCCCCGTCACACTTTTGCGTATATATAATTCTTGTGAGTTACTTATAAAAATCAGCACGCAGCCGTACACGGCCGTACACAGCTGTATTGCGAAAAATGCGATTACTTTGACTTACGTGTGACGCATATCTAGCGTATAAATGACGAATTCAGAGATGAAGGGATGGGGTTTGGTGAGGTGCACGGATGCCCTGCCTTCTAGTTTTAAACAACCTATCCTTCATGACGTTAAGAGACGTTTTTGTTTAGTTTCTTTTTATTCGTGTCATTAGATGTAGGGGCTTTGGATTACACACAATTACATCTCACTATCACGCAAAACAAAGGATATACAACGAGGACAAAAGATCAGTATTACCTCTTGAAAAACCTTTGTGATTTAGCGTAATAGGACATAAGCCATTTATAAATTATAGACTTCAGCCCCGGTCACACCTTTGCGTCTATCAAGTAAGTTCTTTATACAAAAGGGGCGGCGGGGTAGCCTAATGGTTAAAGCGTTCGCTCGTCACGCCGAAGACCCGGGTTCGATTCCCGCATGGGTACAATGTGTGAAGCCCATTTCTGGTGTCCCCCGCCGTGATATTGCTGGAATATTGCTAAAAGCGGCGTAAAACCATACTCACTCACTCACTCTTTATACAAAAAAATCAATACGCAGCCGTACGCTCAAAATTGCGAAATATGTGACGATATTTGACGCACATCTTGCGCATAAATAACGGAATCTGTGCATCCATTGCGTATGACGTGCGTATGATTAGGGTAACAATATTTTTTCTTACTTCAAATAGCTGCATATGCAGTGCGCATGCAGAGTGTATTCCGCACGCACCCAACGTATGCCGACCACATGTCTGACGCACTTCCGACAAATGCCAAGCGTATTCCCGATTTATAAAAAGGCGGCTACTTCCCGCTATTTTCATTACGAGTTCAGATTCCATAGCGTGAACATCAACCTTTCGTCATCTTCAGGAGGTCTGTCCACCCTGGTGTTGAGAGGAGCACAATATCTGTACCAAATCTCGAGGGGTAACCTAGTGGTTAAAGCGTTCGCTCGTCACGCTGAGGAACCGGGTTCGATTCCCCACATGGGTACAATATGTGAAACCCATTTTGGTGTTCCCGCCGTGATATTGCTGGAAAATTGCTAAAAGCGACGTAAAAACTAAACTCACTTGAGTTTACCCTGGATGTTCGGCAAGTACGCCGTCTGTGCGTTTGTCATAAATAAGTACTATGCGCTGCCCGATCGCACTACAAACGGTACCCTTGAAGGTCCGGATTAGAATGTTGATCTTCAGTAACCCATGCTTATCGTAAGAGGCTACTAACGGAATCGGGTGGTCAGGCTCGCTGACTTGGTTGACACATATCATCGGTTCCCAATTGCGCAGATCGATGCTCATGCTGGTAAACACTGGCTTGTCTGGTCCAGACTCGATTATTTACAGACCGCCGCCATATAGCTGGAATATTGCTGAGTGCGGCGTAAAACTAAACTCACTCACTACAAACGGAACTAATTCGTGCAATACGCGGCATTCGCTGCGAGTTCGTTCAGTGTGCGTTGTAGCTGCGCTGCAAGTACAATGTACGCTATGCATACGCCCAATATACGCGGCTAATAGCTCGTGCCAGGAGATCAGCGTATTATGAATTATTATCGGCGTAGTATGAACGGCTTATATCCAACGAACGTATAGCATACTCGTACTCACGCGGGACCGATGCACTGCGTATTTATAACTTATGACCTGCGTAACAGCGTACGCAGCGTAGTTTTGGTCCAGCATCAGGCGTACTTGGCCGTACTGTGCACACGCCGCCGAACAAAACACTTACACAAATGGATTGGGATGCATATGAGGTGCGTATTGTGCGTACAACTGCGTATGAAAGAAATGTCAATACGCAACTCCTAAGTAATTAGGATACGCAGAAGTGTGACAGGGATTTAACGTCGTTTGGAGCATCCTCAATAAGTTACCCCATATATGTTCCAGAAGCTCGTAAAGCAGGGAAGTATTAACACTATCGTCATTGGACTCGAACCCGGACCAGCGGCCGAGACAGAGCTACCACTCCTCGCTACAACCATCAACAACGGACTTGATCCCGCTCACATCAATCAAGCCAAAAATTAGTCCACTGTATCTTGACAGTTTGATAGGCAGCGATCCTTAGGGATGATATATATTCATTGAACTGCTCTGTCTCCACTATTAACAGAATGTACAAACATAACAGTGAGTGAATGCATGAGTGTAGTTTTACGCCGCTTTTAGCAACATTCCAGCAATATCACGGCGGGGAACACCAGAAATGGGCTTCTCACATTGCACCCTTGTGGGAAATCGAAACCGGCGTGACGAGCGATCGCTTTAACCACTAGACTACCCCACCTCCTACATGTGTGGGATCAAAACATTTTTACGTGTTATTTTTTAGGTCTTTACCAAATGGTGAATTTGTCAATTATTCGTAGGTTAAATAAAATTGCTAAATTGCACGCTTTTTCAACTATCTCATCTCCGTAGTTGGATCGGTGGTATAGGGTGGTCAGGTTTGCTGACTTGGTTGCTGCATGCCATTTTACCGTATTTGTGTAGATCGATACAGCTGGAAAACCGCCGAGTACGGCAATAAACTCGCAAAAAAAGGCAAAGTTACGTCATCGGTGTCATGTCGTGTTTCATATCAGTGTTGACTATTGCGTTCCTTCGTTGGTGTTTTTCTTAAAATCTGTTACAATAAATTGGATACCGTATACGTAGACCAGTTGAATTCGAAACAGGCTGCAAAGAAATTTGTAATAGTTTGCTTGAAGTAGGTACAAAAGGTTTTGTGCGGACATGACAATTATCTTACCTGGCACTATTAGTTACAGATGCCATCGTATCCCAGTTGCATAGATCGACGCTCATGCTGTTGATCACTGGATTGTCTGGTCCGGACTCCATTATTTACAGACCGGCGCCATATAGCTGGAATATTGCTGAGTGCGGCGTAAAACTAAATTCACTCACTCACTTGTAGGTATCCATGTCGTTGTTGTATCTTGAGCGACGATAGGGGTTAAAATTGATTTTCAGTCACCCATACTTGTCGTAAGAGGCGACTAACTGGATCGGGTTAACAGGCTCGCTGACTTGGTTGACACATGTCATCGTATCCCAATTGCGTAGTATGCGCGTGCTGTTGATCATAGGAATGTCTGGTCCAGACTCGATCATTTACAGACCGCTGTTAACAAACAAGCCAACCTACCAATCTTGCTTTCAAGAACTGCCGCAAAGCGGCGTTAAAATCCACATACAGTTGTCGACTGATCGTTTGCCTTGATCAACACGAATACACAGAGTGTCCTTATCCGTGTGTGTGTGTGCGTGTGTGCCTGTCTGTCTGTCAGCCTGCGTGCATGTGTGTTTGCAACTACACTTTCTAATTCGACACCGTCTTCTGTTGGTTACCCAGCCATGTCGGAATTGCTGGTAACACAATGTTCGACTCTGCCGCAGCCTCTTTTTACATGCACACATTTACTCCTGTAAGTATATTTACTTATGGAGTAACTTAACTTACAGGAGTAAAAAGTATATTTACTTTCTGTTCACATGGATATTTAACCAATAGGAGTACAGTGAAGCCCCGTTAGTCCGGACCCCGATAATAAGGATGTCACGCCTCCCGGACTATTTTAAATTGTTACCAATCTATGCCTTTTTAATTTGCCTCGATAATCCGGAAATTCGGTTTCCGGAACCGGACGGTAAGTAGCTGTAACCGATCAGTAAAATAAACAGTAAATTGCTTCACAGTCCGGACGCTGTAAGTCGTGTTCACGAACCATAACAACACCCCACGGCGATGTTTACTTAACTGGCCATAAACAATAAAATCTGATTTGCATACCACCCAGAAGAAGAAGTTTGGTTTTGAAGAAGTTAGGTAATTTAATCTTCAGTCACAAAATGAGTAGGCTGTTGATTTTAAAACACACAGGAGATCTGCAGTATTCGTTAACTACAGGACTTGCCCTAGGTCTAACAAAGGACAAGAATGATTGGGAAAAGATCCGTTCAAAAACCTGGTGGACAGACATTATGCAAGGCACCTTTGATGATGACCAGTTGGTAGAGGATTTTCGAATGACTAAAGAAACGTTTGCTGAACTGGGACCCTCATTAGTAAGGACTTGTAGCAGTGACCTGAATCAGTTCAATATCGAAACGTGTAAACCCCTTGTAACAATTTGAAAAATAGCTTACGATGTGTCGCGAAAATTAGAACATACCCTATTTGTCACTACAGATCGTACAATGTAAAGACACCTTTATTATTGTATCTTTACAGTGGTACTTGTTATTTTATGGCTATCATTATCCTAGTAACATTTTCAACGCAATGGTGGATACGGCATCTGACTTGCACATCAAAGACCCGGGTTTGACACCCGGGCTGGAACATCTGAGTGGTATCAAGGAACAAGGTACCTCCGTCCACAATGTCCCAGTCCACCCAGCTGTAAGATGGATACCCACGAGACTGACAATGTGAGCCATTAGTGAGTGAGTGAGTTAAAATTTAAAGTCCATTTGGCAATATTTCAGCCATATCGTGAGTGAGTGAGTGAGTTAGAATTTAACGTCACCTCGGCAATATTTCAGCCATATAGTGACGAGAAATATTTTACATAAACAATAAATTAAAGTTGCTAAATAATCAGTCATCGAAGGACTGCAAAATAACTAGAATATAACAGATGGAGTCTAAAACTAGCATGAACATGTAAAACTGTTTTATTTACGAACACAATACGATATTAAAACGGGCTATAGATCGCCAACAACTGAAGGTAGATCACCATACTAGGAACCATGGGTCAGCCATATCGTGACTAAAACAAGTTATATATTAACAATAAGTAATGATAGATTATAAAATCCTGTCAACAAAGATATAAATGTAAAACTAGCAATTAAATCTAAAACATGTTTACTATAGAGGACAACACAATATAAAAACAGGCTATAGATCGCCAACAACTGAGGGTAGATCAGAGCCATTAGTTCTCTAAACACCTAACACGCAGAGAGGCTGTATCGTCCTCAAGGAGTTGAAAAAGTATCGGAAGGTACAATGGTGTCCAATTACAGGGATAGTAATGTGCGTAGCACTTTGTGCATGCATAAGGCACGGACATAATCTGATGATACAAAAAGAGACTATTACGTACTGATGTGCGATATTTTATGCATGAAACGTGATAGATACGAGTCATAACCTTTACGACACAGGTCGAATTGTTTTCAAACAAGCAGTCTGTACAATGCACAGGGCTGTTACAAACTACGTGTAGAAGAAATTACTAGTCGCTCTATTTACAGGAAAGGAAAAGACAATTTGAACAATTGAGAAAAAATGTAGTATCTTTAAATGAACTCCTGAAGCTGATACTGCTGTCAAACTGACTAAATGCTAGGGTTACACTATGTTCCCGGCGGCCACGGCAGCAAAAACGGGATGGACGTGAGACAACGTAGGGAGACTGACAGTCCGTGATTGCAGTGGATGCCGTGCCAGAGTGAGTGAGTGAGTTATTATTTAACGTCACATCGGCAATATTTCAGCCATATCGTGACGAGAACATATTCGATTTTGAAGTGGAATATATGTATATTATAAAAACCTGTCGACGAAGGACAGTAAAACGATGCCGTGCCAGATTTTTCAGCTGTTCACGGTACTAATGAGTAACTTAGTAGGCTGTTAATGAGAGATCAGTAGGCTGTTAATGAGAGACCTAGTTGGCTGTTAATGAGAAACCTAGTAGGCTGTAGTAAAACGGAGGGAACGCAACAAAACCTGACAGCATGTAATAGGCCGTAACAAAACTTGTAGACGGTCCGTAGTGGGTCGGGAGGCATGTGTATTCCCCGGCATCTCACGGTCCTTTCAGGTTTTGTCACGTTCGGCCACGTTTGTTTGGCGTTTTGTCACGGTTGTTTCACCCTTGCTGCCCATTTTGTCCAGGTTCTCACGGCAAGCTAGGTTGTATGGTAGCCGATTCGTCCCCTTCCATCACGACGCACCCAGGGTGTGACGGTTTACAGGGCCAGCGATGCCACGTTGCGTCCTCTGGCATTCCTTCTCTGCAGCTGATACTGGCCTTCTTGCTGAAGCAAGGACTCGATGTATGCCTCCTAGCAAACATACAAACACAACAACTTCTTCATCTTGGGGGTTCATGCTGCTCTTGTCTCTCGGGATACAACCGCTGCTATTGCTTGGGTGGCCTTATTTTTATACCGTGGGCACAACCGTGCTCCAATGCTGACGTTCATCCGTAGAAAGTCTTGACAGAACGCGCAAAACGTGTCAGAACTTGGATTAAAACGTGAGAAACGTGACGGAATCCATTAGAATGCGACAGGCCAGGAGGAAACGTAATGGCATCCGTAGTGGAGTGCGGGCCGAGCCGTAGTGCGCCTTTGAGATTCCGGAATTCAGCAGCCCGTTTATCCCAACGGCCCATCACGAATACCGTGAGAAAACTTAGCAGGTCCGAAGAAAACTTGACTTTGGAGGGAAAAGATGGCCAAATCCCACGGCGCACTACGTTTCGGTGAAACGGGGCTGCCGTGGCCGCCGGGAACATAGCGAACCCTAGCATAAATGAAGTAACATCCATGTCATATAACATGGTCGTACAAAAAGAAACTGAAAAAAAGGCAACAAAGACGGATTATGAAAATATATCAATTCCAAGGAAACTTATGACTTTTGATGAAACATTGATAAAACATAATCATAATGGAATAATAGTACATTTGAAGATATGATGCAATTGATATATTTACAGGAGTAAATCAAAAGTGTCATTCACAAGGTCAATTTGCTCCTTGAGTAAAATAAGTCCACAAAAAGAGTGTGGGATAAATTGAGCGTATGTGTGTAGTCAAAAATCTTATGATAAGTTTAAGTTGGAGCAGAAACACAAGTCAGAAAAAGAAGTTGCAGCTGCCTTAAGTCTCCCATTGAAATGAAATGAACGCAAGTTGAAATGGCAGGAACTCCGACACCGGGGTAATTTTCATCATAATAAGATAGTATTGTCTTGTGGACAAGGAACTATAATCCCTCTTAAAAGACCTTTTTTTCTGAGGAAAGATCTCTGGCGACATGTTAAAGGATGCAAATTCAATACAACACTTGATGGATATGTTAAGTGGAGTAGGTGGGCAACAAGAAGTCAAGGCTTTCTTGGAACTCTGCGACTGTGAATGGGACAGTGCCATCTCGAGCGTTGCTTTACAAACCCCCCAGAGATATAATACACTCAAAAAAATACCACTTTCTCACGACGTCAGGAGAAGAATGAACACCTGGAAGAGGATTGTGATAGGCTGCTCAAATTGCTCACATCATGTCCATCTCAAGATACCTGGCGAAATCTGGCAGAAGTTGTCCTGGCACAAGTAGTCCTTTTCAACAGAAGAAGAGGAGGAGAGACTGAAAGAATTGAACTGAAGCAATATACTGGTAGAATGACAGCCAGAAGTGATTTGCATGAAGAAGTAGCATTGTCACTCTCATCTTTTGAGAACTTACTAGTACAATGACTCGGGTGGAGATAAGAAGGAAGAGAGGAAGAACTGCGGCTGTTCTGCTGCC